AACAGGCGGCAGTATCCTGTATTCGCCTCCTTTCTGCCTCTCCCACCATATCGATGGCCAATGTGGCCAATTGAAAAATAAATGCCAAGCAGGAGAAAAAACGACGGAAAGGATATTCAAAAAGTTTTCAATTATAAAAATTTCAATTTAGTTGACGATTGGAAAAGTAATTTTAAAATATTAGAATAAATAGGAATTCCTTAAGCGATTTTATAATTTATTTTTATATTTTAATATTAAAAAATATATATTTTTTCTTACATTTTAATACTAAACAGAATCTCATAGGGACTTCCCATAATTTTTCCGTGTATCAAGAAATATTCATCTCCGTCTCAAGGCCATCAATTGGCATTTTGTGGCTGAATGTTGTAGCTCTCGCAAAGTTCAGATCTCCCTTCAAGACCAATCGATAACCGTACTACGATCATGCAGGAATTGTTTCTTTTCCCTCCTAAAAAATTGGCCACAATGTGAATTGATGCTGGCTAAAAATAAACAAAGCAGCGGCAGAGAAATGCGAGAGAGGGCTGAAAAACTGAAACAGGTAGCAGCTGCCTGGCGCTAAAGTGCCAACTTATGCCACGAAAATGCTTGAATATAATGGCCGTTGTGGGAGGCTTGAAGAATGGCATTAGGGAGGGTTGGCTGGTGGGTGGTGGATAGTGGGCGGTATGCAGTTGTGTGCTGCTACCACAAAGGCCGCCAAGATGACGATGCCGACGACGACATGCAAAAGTGGGACGAGTGCTGCCTCTGCTGGTGCTCTGCTGGTGCGTTGGCATTAAGTGGCATGTGGAAGCGGCTACAAGGACACTGATAATGATGGAAAAATTCCCTGGGCACACACACATAACACACATTGCTCCGTTAGCTCCGCTCATCGCTTTATCAATTCGGGGAGTCAACTAGTTGGTACTCAGCTTAAAAGTCCTTCATCGCCTTGGCGAAAGCTCAAAGGGAATATAAAGCTCATATTGTCAGTTTTACACTAGTCAAAATATTTAAATATTATTTTATTTGATTAAAAAAATGGTGTTTATTAAGCTTAAAATAAATTTTATAAATTTTCTGTTACAATAATAATATGTATTCAATGAATTACTATTTATAAATATTTTTACTAGTTAATTTTTACAGTGTATTAGACTTTTAAAATATTCATCCTACCACGGTACATCCAAAATCACCAGGTCACGTATATATCCGTAATACCGTGCTTTGGCCACATATAAAAATTGCACTGGCAGCCACAAGACAGTGACAAAAGGGCACTTGCCGACCTTCCTCCCACTGCCACCCACATTTCTCGTCCTTTCTGCCACTGACAGAGGCAGAGGCAGGTGCAGGGCAGGATAACGGTAAAGGGAAGGGGGAGTGGCAAGAGGAAGTGGGTGGGAAACGAAATCGACCTTGACTGACAGCTTGACATGAACTCGACTGCTCTCGACGTTGTTGCTCTTTACTCTGCTTCACGCCGAGATCCCTGATGTTGGCTCATTATTTTCGCTTTAGCCGGACAGCAGGCGGTCAGGTGGGTGGGCCAAAAAAAAAACGAAAAGCTGGGGGAATGTAAATGGCTTTGCTCTTTAAAGCCGACAAACCGCAAAGGGCTGGCCGTGCATCTGGGCCCGGCTCACAGCAAGTAACTCCAACTAACCAACTCGGCCTCCGGCGAACGGAGCTCGCTTAAATGGCCAACCATTTTCGGTTACTTTTGCCTTCTGACACGTCTGCGTGCTCGAAATTCATAAGCCAGCCAGCCATCCAGCCAGCCAGCCATCCAGCCAGCCGCGAGTTTTATCAGCCAGTCATAGCTTAATTACATGTTATTCACGTATAAATCAAAGCGAACGGAACGAAATTGAGATCACACAGGGAAATTAGCTGATAAAATGTTTGCCAAAGCTGGGTATTAATTATGATAATAAAGCAGCTAGACAATTTTTTGTAATATCTAAATTTTTTTATAAAATATTATACAAAATATATATATGTAAAAATTATACTTTCGCTAAACTTAAATCTGACTATGAACAATTTCATGTTTATTCAAAACCCACTTTGTATAGCATTTTTAAAATACATATTTGCAAATAATAATTGCGGTCTGTCATGACATTTAATGTGTTTCTATTTAATCTTTTGACTCGGTTGCGAGCTTTAAATATTTACCGCTTACGCATGTTTAAGACGAGCCTTAAATATTTATGAGCTTATGAGCAAGGGGCCCAAATGAGCTATTGATGACCGAGGCCACAGGAGGATTGTCCCAGATTCAGGATTGCCTGGCGATTTACATTTTACACAATGTTTCCCGGAAAAGTAGGCGACGTTTTTCATTCAAATGCCTGTGGGCCAAAGACAAATTCCTCCCAAGTGCGACATTGTGTGTGTGCGTTCAAGTGCGAAGGATATGGTATGGGGAGTGGTATAAAACGGCTATCATGTCGTCGTAGTCGTCGTGCCAAAGGTTCATAAATTCGTTTTAATCCTGCTTTATGGCGACATCACATCGAACATGAACTTTAACGCGCATGTGACTACGGCGACGGCTTCATTTGCATTTTACAACTTCATTTGGCAGCCGGAATGCGGGGCGAAAATAAAAGAAATGAGCTCCGAGCCAAATTGGCGTAGTTTCGCCATGCGGAGGAAGTGCCTGCCACGCCCACTTCCACCTATTTTTCGGTCCGAAATTATTGTTTAATCTTGACCAACGCCCCCGCGAAAATGTTGAAGCGAATGTGGCACGACAAGCGACCATTACTTGCCTTCGGCCCCCGGAAGTGGACATTTGCACGCCCCGTCGATTAACCCATTCGATCCAGTAAAACTCTCGCTAGTTCTTCCTTTTTTTCAATTCTCAACTAATTTTATTTTTGCTTTCTCTTGTTGGGTTTTGGGTGAAATGCTTTCGAGTTTTAGTTTAGTGACACCCTAAAATACGTTTTTGGTTTTTGTCTTTATCGTTCTGTTAATTTAAATTACAATTTAGAGTTTCGATCTAATTGGCTTACAATTTGTGACCTGAACTGCGGAACTGAAAAACAAACATCTAACAATCAAACAATATAGATATGCAGTCTGTGCCAACTCATACTTATGATATTTAAGGTCATCTATATTATCCTTGTTGATATTGAGATCGCTTAAAGTACAAAAACACTTGTAGTTAGACTAACACGAGAGCTTTTTGGGGGTAGGGGGTTCTAGGATTAGGTTTCGATAGGTGTGTGTTTTCGAGATAGTGTCTTCTTTTGCTAAGGGATTGCTGTCTATACACTTACAATGTCTTATGTTTGTTTTTTGTCCTCCGCTTTTCGGGATCGTGTCTAATATTGCATAGTAGCGAGTATAAAGAGTGGAAAAGTGTTTCTATAATACAACAGAGGGGCTGGGCATCGAGCCAGTTGAATGTCCTCCAGCTACCTAGGCCTAACTAACTATCCAGACAAATGCATTTTCATCGACGGGCAGGAGCTTGCGAGGATTAATATTGATAGGACTTTTGTAACTATGTAAATTTGTTGAATGTCAAAATGGAAAAAAAAACTTTTAAAATAAATAAATGGATGAATTTTAAACTAACAATGTTTAAAAATATTAAAGATCCCAACATATTTAATTTACAGTAAAGGGTAAAAGTTTTCATAATATTAATATTTATTTCTAAAAATGAGAAATTATTTTTCATAATACTTAGTTATATCATGATCTATCATCTTATGATATCACGATTTTTTGCAATCTTTGAAAAGATCATGAAGTTGTGATGATCTCTACGAAATTAAAAAAATATAATTAAATTTAAGATTCAAAACATATCAAATATACATTTTAAGTACTTCAGATTGAACTTTAAATATATGTTTATAATTTGTTAAACAAATAAGAGTCAAAATCTGCCAAGTGGGCCACCCCTGTTCCGAAGGTCCGATTTTCATCGATCTTTTTTACTTTTCCGGTTCACAACGAAAATATAAGAACTTCATTTGAACGGTTTTGCGAAATTTTGAGTTTTACCGGAGTTATAGGGGTCAAAACATGGCATTTTTGACACTTTTTCGAAAAAGTTGCACTCAGTCAAAAATTCATAACTTCGGAACGGTAAGAGATATCTTTATGATGTTTTCACTAATCGCTCAAGAATTATTATGGCTTTCCATAAAAAAATTTTAAAAAAAATTAAAAATTTTTTTCTTAAAAATAAATCAACATTTTTTTTTTTTTATTTTTTTTTCAGTGTTCTTCACCAGCTATAGAGTTTAAAACCATTTGAAAATGAAGTTTGATTCATTACGAAAAAGATAAAAAAAAAAAAAAGAGGGGCCCGGACAAAGGTTTTTCGCAATATCGATTTGAAGAAGGGCGCACAGCGGTTTCCCATACAAAAACGGCTTGCTCGTGAAAATTGGCTGGTCAACACATGCCGTTGCGCGCGTAGCGTCAGCCGACTGCAGCTGTCAATGACGCACTTTTTGTCGTTTTGTATGGGAATCCGCTGTGCGCCCTTCTTCAAATCGATATTGCGAAAAACCTTTGTCCGGGCCCCTTTTTTTTTTTTTTATCTTTTTCGTAATGAATCAAACTTCATTTTCAAATGGTTTTAAACTCTATAGCTGGTGAAGAACACTGAAAAAAATAAAAACTAAAAAAAAATGTTGATTTATTTTTTAAGAAAAAAATTTTTAATTTTTTTTAAAATTTTTTTATGGAAAGCCATAATAATTCTTGAGCGATTAGTGAAAACATCATAAAGATATCTCTTACCGTTCCGAAGTTATGAATTTTTGACTGAGTGCAACTTTTTCGAAAAAGTGTCAAAAATGCCATGTTTTGACCCCTATAACTCCGGTAAAACTCAAAATTTCGCAAAACCGTTCAAATGAAGTTCTTATATTTTCGTTGTGAACCGGAAAAGTAAAAAAGATCGATGAAAATCGGACCTTCGGAACAGGGGTGGCCCACTTGGCAGATTTTGACTCATAAATAAATAAATTTTCTTAGTTCCTTTACTTATAAACCATTCTTTGTATTCCCGCAAGCTCATGCCATCTTCGGTGGACCGAAGGCTCTCGATTCTCCTCCTGCCCCATCTCTCAGTCCTCCGGCTGTACACGCTTCCGATTAGCTCTTGAAAATATCCTGTCCGGGCTGCGGGGAGGCGGGCGACGGGGAACCACCACTCGCCCCTCCACTGCCGTCCCCGTTCAGCCGCTTCAGCATGGCATTGCGGTGCAGCCAGTAGGGCGGTGGATCCGGCGGCTGTCCCGGCAGCAGGGTCTTGGCCTTCAGATTACTCGTGGCCGGCGGCTTCGGACTGTGCGAGGCTGCACTGTACATCACGGGGTCCGCCAACTGGGCGGCCGACTGGCCAATGGCCACGCGCAGCGGGGTCTCCTTTTTCCGGATCGTGTCGCAGGTCTCCTTCATCTTGCACAGCTGATCCTGCAGGTTGCGATACTCCTCGAGGAATCGCTCCAACTGGGCGGCATGATAATCGTAGGCAGCCACCGAGGAGTTGGCCGCTCCGGCCGCCCTCGAAGCGAGGGCGGAGAAGTCCAGCAGGGGCGTGGCTGCACTCGACAGGGATCGCTGATGCTGCACTGGGCTCGAGGGCAGGCTGGGCTTCTGGCCCAGATGACCGGGCAGCAGATTGCCCTTGTGGGCGCCACTCTGCACCAGGTTGAGGAAACTATTGGCCCGCTGGCCGCCGCCCGTGTAGGTGGCCGTGCTCGAATAGTTCGCATAACTGGACTCCGCCGAGTATCGCCGACCCAGACCCATGGCCTCGTTCAGGAAGCTGCCATCGCCCAGGGTGCTACTCCCGTATTTACTCGAATTATCCGCCAGCAGGGGCGACTGGCTGTCCGAGGAGTTGCGGAAGTACTTGCCGCTGGTCTTCAGCTTGCGGGGCAGGGTGCACAGACCGCCGTTCGGAGTGGGCGTGGCCTGGCCGTAGCCTCCCGGCCCTCGACCCTCCTGCTGCTGGGCCTGGGCCACCGCATACTTGGCTATGTCCAGCAAGTCCGGATAGTTGCTGTCAAACAGGTCGCTCTCCTGGCCCTCGCTGCAGAACACCGAGGTGGCCATCTCGTCCGCCGGCTGGAGGCCATAGTGGGCGTAGGGCGTGGCCGTTCCCGTTCCCTGAGGATTCAGGGAGGAGGTTGCCGCCGCCGAGTTAGCCGGCTTGCTGTGAGGCGAATTGATCTTGGTGGTGGCAATGGGCGTGGTCTTCCAGGTGTGGCCGGCATAGCCCGCTAAGCGAGCGGCGGCATCCACCTGGCTGGAGATCGAACTTGAGGCGGAATCGGTACTGGAAGAAAGGAGAAAAATGATAGGAAATTACAATTTAGTCTTGGAAAAATTAAATTAAATTAAATTTAAAGGAAATAAACAAAATTGAAATGGAAATATGAGATTTTGGAAATATCTCTTGGTTTTGAAAATTCGCTACAGTTGTCATGATCTCAGAAAATGCGTGTTTACTAGACTCTTAAATAAGACTAACAGAAATCTAGTTTGAAAGGTAAAATGCATTTTTTTTAATATAAAAAACTTGTCTGCTTAAAAAATATTAATATAATATAATAATAATAAATACAAGTATTACAAATGTTCAAAAAATGGTTGAACTAAAATAAAAACTAATTAGTGATGGAGTAAAATCTTAAGAGAAAAAACATAAAATATTCTTTGTCATTGCCTGATACAAAAAGAAAGTCCCTTTGTGTTTGCACCCCGCTTGTAAGTCGCCTGTATCCTATTTTCGTTGAGTGCTTGACTTTTCAGATTCTCGTTATTCGGCAGTGTCCTCGTCCATGAAGATAACCGGCCGCACATCCATTAACCAGCACTCGCACTCGTATCCGCGGCAGGATGCCTTTCACATGACAAGCGCCAATCAGGCAGAGTGAGATCTCAGTGTGCCCGAAATAAAGCACTTCTCGTGGACGAGGATGTGGAGGTGGAGGTGGATGTGGATGTGGTCTTGTAGCCTGTACGAGGATGTGGATGTGGGCGGTTGAATGTGGATGTGCTCGCATATTTCGCGCGTCATTAGCACGCGCGTTTCGCTCAGTCGCCGGAGATGGAGGTGAATGGGCCGAGTGGGTGGAAAAGGACTCGAGCTCGAGCTCAGAGTGGAAGTGTCAAGTGTTGCCCATAATACGGACGCAATACGGAGATCCGGGCGCGTTCCGCACTCGAGCATGACAGCTCTTTGACAGGGACACGGACGCCCGGTCGGGGGACAATTGCCACTCGAAGTAACGAGAACCGCAGAAACAAAGGGCACCCGAGGCATGCACTGAGCGAAAGGGAGGTGTAAGTCAGGATTTAAATTATAATTAATTAAAATAAACTAAAATTGAAATTTATTAAGGTAAATTACACAACCAATACCTCTTTAAAAAATATTTACAAATGAAATTTTAAATTAGCAACCCAGTTTTTCCTCCGCGTGTAGGTCAACTCACCCGCCGATGTCGATGAGGCGCGGTATGTGCAGATCCGTTTCCTCCAGCGCTCCTGAATTATTCGTCCCGGATGCGGAGACAACATGGCCCTGGGAGCCCTTCCTCTGCTGCAGCTGCTGCTGCTGCTGATTGGGATGAGGATGTGCAAGTGGGTGGTGCTGTGGATGTGGATGGTGCAACTGCTCCTCCTCCTCATCGTCGCAGTGGGTGGACACGTGCAGGTAGTCCCCGTTTCTCCGCTGGGCACTTCCCGCACTCGGATTCACAATGGCCGCCGCCTGCCCCGCATCGTTGTCCTGCAGGGGAGTGTGAGATGCCCGCAGATAGCCCTGCTCCTCGGCATCGTGAAAGAGTCCGGCACCAGTGGCACTGCCGCCCCCGCAACTGGCCCCGCCCCCCAGATCCGGTCTCGTCCTGGCCGTCATCTCGATCTTCTCGTAACTCTCGCTTCTCCTCACCGGCGGCACAGAGTTCCACAGGCGCAGCTTTCGTCGCCTCTGCAGGGAGCACAGGCAGATGGCCGCAAAGGAGGAGCCGCCGACCAGGAGCAGGGCAGCTATGACGCCCAGCAGCACGATCCTCACGCCCCACGGCGCTTCCGGTGGTCGGCGGGACACGGCCAAAGTCACACTGGCCTCCACTTTACCAGCCTTGTTCTCCGCCGCACACGTATAGATCCCCGCATCCTGCATGTCGGCCGTTAGGATGGTCAGATTGGAGGCATTCCTCAGCATATTGACCACATAGGTCTTCCTGCCCTGCGTGGCGGCCGCTGTCCTGGGCTGCTCCGCCTCCGAGTCCCCATCTCCGCCAGCACTGAGATTGGCTATCAGGCGGTTCTTCAGCAGCCACTTGACCGCCGGCTGCGGTACTCCCTCCACATAGCAGCTCATGGTTATATTCCTGCCCTCCACTCCGTGGGCTGTGGTGTCCGTGGCCACAATCTGTGGAACGCAGGCGAAGTCATCCACATCCAGTTTGTCCCAAGCTCGACCGGACAGCCTTGGTGGCGACTCGCAGGTGGGCGGTATGCCACTCGGTATATTCTGCTGCAGCATCCAGGCCCTCAGCGGCCTCAGCGAGCAGCTGCAATTCCAGGCATTGCGGGCTAACTCCAGACCATGAAGCGAGGCCAGCGAAGTGATGGTGCCGCTCCTCACCTCGCTCAGCCGATTCCCGTCCAGCTTCAGCCACTCCAGGCTGCTTTCCAGACCGGCAAATGCACGCACTGCAATATGCGACAGCCGGCAGTCACTGAGTTCTAGTTTCACCAACTGGGGGACATGGCCGAAGGCATCGTCGGGAACTCTTAGTATTGGATTCCCACTCAGCCGCAGTTCCCTCAGCTCCGAGACATGGAACAGGGCCAACGAGGGTATGGCCGAGAGGAGGTTCTGGCTCAAATCCAGCTCCACCAGGTTGATCAGCTTGCGGAAGGCATGCCTTTCGATCAGCCGCAGGTGGCACCTGGCCATGTAAACCTTCTGCAGGTTGAGCAGCTGGGCGGAGGCGAAGCTGTCGTCCGGTATCGATTGAATCTCATTGCCGCTCAGGTCCAGCAACTGGGTGCCCCCGTCCAGCGGCAAAGGGATGTGGGTGAGGTTGGCGTTAAGGCACAAGACGGACTCCTTGCCGCTCTTCCACTTGCACTCGCACACCGCCGGGCACTCGCTGGCCGCCAGCTGGCCCAGTTGGCAGCAACAGCAGATCAGCCAGAGCAGCAGGTGGATCCGTTGGTGGGTGAGCGGCAGGCGGGGGGATCGCGGTGTTCGCAGGGGCGGGTGCAGGCGCCGCTGGGGGCGTGGCCCTTTTCGCCGCACCTTCGTGGCTAACGTGCGGCGCTGGGCGCTGTTGTCGCTGGCTATGTCCTGACCGCTGGGCGGACCCGGAGCCTCCAGCGTCGCGGCTGCTCTTCCCGCTGCCATCGCATACTCGAACTATAATGATTCCGGATGAGGATCAGGCCTGGAAAAAGAGACGGAAAATGGTAAATGGGTAATGGTTAGTGCGGCTGTCGTAAACTCGGAACTGCGGACAGTTTAATGGACTTCAAAAGGGGTCTGTATATATTCAACTTAATGCACCGAGGGAAATTACTTATTAACTGTAAACATTATTGGTACGCCAAACACTTGTTACTCGTTAAATTAAAAGATTGGTATAGATTTAATTTGAATACCAAATAAATAGTACAGCCTGTACTAATATTTTCTAGTTTCAATTTTGTACTTCTTAAAGTATTAATTCAATACTCATGTTATTAAGACAATTTTCAAACTTAATATTTTAGTTTCTATGATTATTTTTTTTCGGTATCAGTAAGCTTTAGTTACAAATATTTTCCTAATGAAAAGTTTATTTTTTTAACTTGATTATAATAATTATTTATTTGGTTTTACCCATTTTTCTTACTATATAAATTTGTGAATAAAAATTATTTGATATCGTTTTAAAATTATATATTTTTAACAGCTACACCCAGAAAACAAAATGGACTAAAAAGGGGCCTAATTACCTAAAATTTTAGGAAATATGGCCAGAAAAACGCGCCAAGGCCATGCATTACCTAAAATGTTGTCCATGTGGACTATATTTTGTACGCAGTCTTGAATTTATTTCTGGTAATGGTTACCTAAAAAAATGGCTAGTGGACTAGATTTTTAGGTCAGAATTACCTAAATATTAGGTATTTAAAAAAAAGCTAGGATTTTTACTATTGATAGTAACATATTTGATTATTTTAATTGCTTATATTGTATTATTCGGAAAAGCAAATATTTTATCTTTCTGAAAAAACAATCACTTTATTTTGTCCTCGGTGGGAATCGATCCCGGGTCTTCTGCGCGAGAGTCCAATAGGCTAGCCTCTGGTCTACGGAACTACTTAAAGGCCCTGCGGCAAAACCAAAGCCTGCTTCAAGGGGCTCAGGCGAATTCTATTTTTAGAATAGGGCACTATTACCTTAAAAGTAGGAAAATAGTCCACGTAGGTATTGATTTTATATATTGAAACTTTTCCATCACTAGCTTTAAGAAAAGTCTAAAAAATTTTTTAACATTAAACTTAAAAAACCGAATAATTTGTTTATTAATATTAGGGACCAATATTTGTATTAAGTTGTGAGTGATAATCGACTTTAAATTATTCCTAAATTTTAGGTCTTATGGACCAATTTGAAGGTTACGATGGCCTATAAAAATCTCTTTAGCTTTACCTAAAAAGTAGGAACATAGTCCACATGCTAATATTTTTAGGTAACCCATTACCTAAATCTGAAATTTTAGTCTATTTAAATTTTTTAGGTCATACGTTACCTAAAAAATAGTCCCACATTTCTCTGGGTGTACCAGCTAGCCAGTTTTCTTCAAGTGCATTTCCTAAAACCCCCACTCGCGTAGGCCACATTAAGTCATAAGAACACCCTGCCAGGAGTTCCAAAAAGCCACGCGAGTACGAGTGCCTTTTCCTCCTCTTACCCTGCTACACATTTGGGTTCAACTAGAAATTTGGCTTTCCTTCGTTTGCTTTTTTGTCGTGATTTTTTCTTTCGTTTTCGGTTGTGCCCCGCGGTTTGTTTGACTAGGCTAAAGTCCCAAGTCGCCCACTGCGCTGCGTGTGTGTGTTTTTGCTTGTGCGGCATGTTGCAATTATGGCCGTCGACCATGCAAGCCAAACACAACAAGTTCCCGCTTTTACCCCCTCTGTGCGACGCCACTGCCCTTGCCGGGCTTAATATATGAAATTTGCATGCAAGCAACGGGGCGTATGAGCAACACTTTTGCATTTCCGCGTTAATTTTTCAAGCCCAAAACCGCATGGCACCTACTGCAGCGTCTAGTGTGGTGTTACTTGAGATCAAAACAAGAATTAAAAAAATTTAATGGGTAAAAAGGGAAATACTTGAGTGGAGGCACGCTAAAATATGAACTAAGAGGTATTTAAAAAAAAGGAACTTTAAGTAATAAAAGAGGATGAACACAAGAGGTTAATTAAACATTTAAACAGATAGCTTACAAATCATTAAAAAGAAAATGTTTCAATTTTTTCACTTAAACGAAAATTTTAAAATTTTTTAATTAATGTATTAAAACCAGTTAAAATCCAGTTTTTATATAGAGCAACAATTAAAAGTGAAATGAAATGAAATACGTGAACCAACAATGTGAAAACCACATTGTGTTTCAGTGCCGTGGAAAAATGCAAATAATTTATTTTATGACAGGCGATTTTTCTCAGATTTCGCATTGGAAATCGCCTCGTTGACTAGCCGCCGGCATTTCACGGGCATCAGAATTGGAATCGGAATCGGAATCCCTGGACCGATTTCAAGTGGCGCTGCAAATACCTGAAGGCCATTTCAGTGCGTTGATGGCTTCATAATATAGTAATACCGTGGATGCATATTTAAATTATTCTGCTCGTTTGGACAAATACTCAATTGAGCTCAGAGCAGTTGACTTTTGGGTACGATGGCGAATTTTTAAAGCCGGCTTTCGAACAGAGTAAAAGAAAAGAGTAACAGTAACAGTTACAGAAACCGGAAGCCACAAAGCAAACAAAATGCTTGCAAAAACCGCAATGGTGTCGAAATGGGGAATGGGAATGGGGGTGTGAGCAAAATGGAATGGCTTTGTCACTAATGTTTTGTTTGACTGCTTGTGTGTGTGTGTGGAGGGCGTTTAGGGGTCAATACACTGGACGACAGCCGCAGAAATGAAATGAAGTTTTTGCATGTAGCTGAAAAATACTCAGCTGCATTTTTGCCCGGCCAAAACAAAGGCAAAACGAAGAACGAAGCAGATAGTGAAAAAAGGGAAATACCCGCAGACACAGATACAGCTATATGTATGAGTGTGTGTGTGGAAATGTGGTTGTGGCATTGTCGTTGCCGTTTATCATATGTGAGCACAACGCCGTGAAGTATGCAACATGCAAATGCAAATGCTGCCTGGCTGCCTTTGTTGTGGCCTTTCTCCGGCGTCTCCTTCGGTCTAGCCATCTAGCCAGCCATCCAAGTCCAAGTCGTGTTTGTTCTCCTTGTGCAGTTGCTGCAGACACTAATCCTATTTATGTTGCATTGCAGCGGGGTTAATAATTTTATTTCCAACTGCACAACTGCAGCGGACACTGCAGAAAGCCAAAAGCCGCTTTTCCTGCTTATGACACACGATACGTGCCCGGGGTTCGAGAAACTTTCCATGCAGTTTGTCAGTTCTTTCTGACACAAGCACAAATATTCGCACACAGACAAACTCCGGAGCAATGGCCGCTGTTAAGGGAGTGGGTAAGGGGGTTGGGGGTAGGGGGTGGTGAGACGTGGCGGTTCAGCCTAATGAAACTCGCATTAACGTGCGATATGACAAACACACAAATGTGAGATCTCACATGTCACAAATGATTCCCACAAATAGTTTATCCAAACCCTGCGCAGATAATGTATTCTTGCAGCGTACACTTAAAACAAAGAGATGAAAAATATTTTTTTTAACTTAATATGAACATTTTGGGGGCAATTATAATTTATCTTAAATCTATTAATATCTTTATCAATTTTTAACAAGTTTAAAAAATGTATTTCATTGAATAAGTATTTTTTAATATTGTAAAAAAATAATTTTATATTAAAAATATCGTACGCAATTTAAATAAATATCTAACAATAAAAACTAGAATATTGTTATTTATTTTTCCAAGTAAATTAATCTTAACCAAAAGAAAAAGACTGATTTAGTCGCCCTAACTTAAAGTAATCTGCCCCATTAGAAGTCCATAAGTCTCTCGCATTATTTATGCCTGCGCGGTTTGAGATGTATTATGTGACAGCTGCCAAATGGTAGCCAACTTCGTATTTTGGCACGGATTTTTTTGGCCCACTTTGTGTAGTCTCCTTCGTAGTCTAACACACTCTTAGCCCTTGCTTTAATGTAAAAATAATGTCCTTTAGGGCCGCATTGATTGCAAATAAATTACGCACACACCGAGGCGGCCGAGCAGAAGAGCGGGAAGAGCTGAGTTCGAGTGAGAGAACAGATTAAGAGGCCAAAAATGCTGCCATCGTTGACTTCATAAAGCCAAATACACACTCACACAAGCAAATAAGGGGAAATGGGGAGAAACCGGTCTGGCCAAAAATGGCAGAGCCATTAATTTCACTTTGGCGCCGCGTTTCGTTTGCTGAAACTTTAATTAGAAAATCCCGGCAAAGATTTTGTGTAATTTTCCCTGCTTGAATGCCTCGACCAAGCCCGAGTTTCCACTTCTTCTTCTTCTTCGCGCTGGAAGAGCTGCTTGGCGCAGATAATGAAGTTCTTTCCTCCACTTTCCTTGTATTCTTTGCATTCACACTTCCGGCTTCATTATGCGCAAATTATTTTAGCTGCACTTCCCCACCCGATTTCCTTCCCCCTGAGGTTGGGGCAAATATTATTTCACTGCTGCTGTCCGGAGACTTTGATAGTAAATTCCCTTTTAATACCCTCACTCGGGGGGTTCGGTGATTATGTCTCAGACATTTCTATAATCCGCAAAAATAGGAGAGAAAAAGTGTTCCTAAAAAGTTTTTGAATGATTGGGAGTATTTAATACTTAAACTTTGGTATGTAGTTATTTATTGAACAATTTTGAATTTTAATAAAATGTTTTTTGCATTTTAGAAATAAGTATCCTTTTATTAAAAATCATTTTTATTTCATGAATTTATTTTATACTAAATATATTTATTCCGATTTGGAAAGGGCATTCAGGTCTCTGCATTTTATCACTGAATGGCACCCGGAGTTAAAAGTAATCTCTAGACCATTCCCTCCAGTTCGCTGTCATTATTCATTTTTGTGTGTATTTCTTTTTGTGCTGTGTAACCTTTTTTGCCGCATTGTTTTGCAGCTGTAAAGCAATTTTCGCAAGCATAATAGACTTTACCAGCTAAAAACAAAAATGGAGGAAAAACAACTAGGGAATGAAGTGG